TTCCTCTTCTTTGGCCATTGCTGGTATGTTCCATCTCATACCCCTCTCTCCAAAGACCCTCTTCCTAACCTGAAATCGATTCTCCTCTCTGGAAAGAAGCTTCATCTGCCGGAAATCAGTTTTCCCCTCACTGGAATGAAGCTCAATTTGCTCCTCACTCTCTCCATCTCTCACTTTCCCTTCTGAACTGAGTTTCTTGTTCCTGTAATCGAGCCCTCAGTTTATTGTAACAAGTTGCAAACATACCCTATAAATTGGAGGTGGGTGTTGGGTTTTTTGCTAGGTTTTTCGGTGTTAGATGATGTCACCGAAGTGTATAAGAGGGACTTGATAGTTGGTTTGTTTTCACATGAAGAAGAAGCTCAAAGAAGCTCTGTAACCAGGACAGAAAAATTAAACAAGAAAATTTGCTTTTTCATTATTTTGATTGTGGGTTATTGTAATACCTCATTTCTGTAATGAACTGCATTCCAAGTTCTTCCCTATCAAGAATTTGGATCTTGAAGGCATAAACTACGAATTTAAATTGGAGTGCCAAAAGATTATGAATTTGGATCTCGAATGCATCCCAAAATCGATCTTTTTTATATTAAGTCATATCAAACGGTTATTTTAGTCGGACAAATAAAATGGTTATTTTTGACATTCAGACTGTCTATTCAGTACAACAATCGAACAACACATTACTTTGTATCATGCAGACAGCTTTATCTATACAGAATTTAACGGAAAATAAACCGAATAGCCCCTTAAAGAGTTTAACAGGACTCGCATCTTATTCGGTCAGCTAATGATTCTTTTGTAGTGGCTTAATGATATAGAAAGTGGCTTAATGATATAGAAAGTGGCTTATTCAATAAGCTTCTAGGAAAGAGCTTAAGTTTTTTTCCCAAACGTAAAAAGACACTGTTATCTGTGAAAAACTATCCCCAACAAAAACCTTCCAAGACAGATTAATAACACTGACAGCTTTTATCCAAGACTTAAACAGAATACCAATCAAACAAAACAACCCCTTAAACGAACCCTTAACTTCGTTTATGGTGTATAACTTTTGTTATGAAAAAAGCAGTGCAGGTTTCCTTCAGATCCAAAAACTCCATTCATTTCCAAAGTATACGCTTCGAAGCTCAATTTCAAAGCAATAACAAATTAATCACATTTTGAAAGAAAAATATTAAATCAACACACGAGATTACCTGTTCCTTGTCTAATGCGGTCGGCATATCGTTGTTGGCAGCCATTACAGAGATGAAGGATCCAACAGACACCTACGAAAATCCAAACAAAGATTAAATTTCGTTGCTAAAAATGAGAACAATTAGCGATTGATCTTGATTTCGAGAGTTTCCACCTTAGCGAGAGGAGAGACACAGAGATCTGCGAGTTGTGGGAGTCTAGGGTTTAAGGAAGGCAAAAATACCCATTTGGGTCGAAGTCTTCTCTCAATTCTGACCACCAAAGTTTTAGTTTTTTACAATATCGTTTTAATTCCTTCCATTTTCTCCAATCTGGTCACTTTTACCGATGTTCATGGGTTAGGTTGATCGAGTTAATAATATTTAAATAACTCAACTCAATGCTTTTTTAGTTTGAAAAATCTTAACCCAACCCAATCCGAACGAAAGTGAAATCCAACCCAACTTTAGTACATTAAAATATTCTTCTAACCTAGAATATGTTATTTCTCTATCATAATTTTTTTTATCATCAACCATTTGATACAACTTATACATATTTCTTACGTATATCACATTCAGTTAATTTTCTCAATTTACATATATATGCTCATAGTTACTAAACATATATACGAATGAGTTATATAAAGATGTGAATAGATTGAAAATATGTGTATATGAAGAGCATACATGATAGTGTAATTGTCTAATGTACATATTAATAAAAATTTAACAATCATATTAAATCCAAGAAATAAAAGGATATCGGGTTCATCGGGGTTCAAATAATAGTAACTCAATACATACAGTTTGACAATTTTACAACTCGATTAGACATCGGTTGAGTTATTTTGTGTTGGGTTGATCAGGTTGCTCGAGTTGGTCGGATTTTTGAGCACCCCTACTTGTAATTGCATCTTTTACAATACACGAATTTTCCAAAAATCATATCTTAGATCTTCAATTAATGTACAACCAACGAAAATGTAAAAAAGAATTAGGGTTTTATTAAGTCAATTTTAACATGGACAGTATTATGGTGAATATCCTTACGAAATGACTTAGAATTCTAGAATTCGACTTCATGTATCACCTACCTATCTTTAGAGCATGTAATTTACCTCCCTAAACTGCTACAATGGAGGTGTTCCAAAAGATAGCGATAGTGCCATACTTTAGTAGTTACTTTGGTCATGCATCTAGAATTAAGCCCATCAACGAAACCAAATTTACTCCTTTAGGTGCGCTTGGTACATGGACGGAACGAAACTCGCTTGGACTAAACTGATATTCAAAAAGAAAAGGGATCTTTTTTTGATTAACCTGGATATCTAACCCACTATGAGACCCGACTAATCCCAAGGCGACCACATGCTTTGCAGATRGTCCGGAGTCACTGCATTTGAACCTCTGTGGCCACAAGGGGATTTTTATTCCTTCTTGGATTTGAACCTGAGACCTCCTGGTACTTTTGACCTTTGGAGCCAAGCTCAAACCAATCAGGCACCACTCTTGTGGTTAAGAAAAAGGATTTTAGAATCAAGGGAGATGGTTGTTAGCCAACGACAACTTGTTCTTTGGACAAGTTCAACCATGTTAAGAATATGTGATGAAATAGCCGAGCAGTGAATCTCAAACAGAAAACAAAGAAAGGAAGTTAGGGACATATACCACTGTCGGATTTCGACTTAGGAATACGCCCAATGAAAAACGTGGAACCTCTCTCAGTTGTGAAGCAAACAAGCAATGTTGGATTTGCATACAAGATGTTGCACCATAAGAGAAATGTGAGACATTCATAGTCTAGCATCATAAAGATGATATTGGAGATCACTTGAAGACACCCTACTTTACGGCAACACGGAGGAGTGTTTGGTTGGGATATCATTTAAGATCACCATACGTCTAGAGGGCTATGGACATGAAAGTTAGCGCTGAAGATAAACGATTACACAAGTGGGCATTGACAACGCCTGGATCAACTTTGTAAGAATATGCTAATCTAAATCCTATAAAGACTCACACTACAATAAATTTTGAAACTTATCTGTGTCCAATCTCTTTCAAATCTGTTGTGACCATGTATTTGAGTTTTGAGAATGGCACAAATATTTTGCTTGAGATTTGGAAAGCCTAGCATCCCAAGTCTACGGTCTATACAAATGTTATTGACAGATGGGCTGAATTGCTTAACTATGAGGAAATCTACAGAAACCGAGATTCAATTCAATGGTATTTTTTCAAGACAACTGTTTTTGGTAAGATTGAAATTATTTCTTGTATATATTATAATGAAATAAAAGAAATAGCACTGGAAACTGCAAGTGTTCTAATTACCTACCCAAAACACAGGGTGATCCCAAGCTAAGGACACAATATGCATATTTCAAGGTTCAATATGAGCTATCCAACAGAAAACTTGGCGATATTAGCTCATTTTGATATAAACCTTCTGAAAATGCAAAATATGGATTTGGTACGGTCAACCTGCATTAATTAAAGTTTTCATATAACATGAATTTAATATATTTCGTCTTCCTAGCTTTATATAATTTATAATCCAAAACAGGCTTTCTGCCCTGTTATAGATTGTGGTCACTACTACATGGTGGTGTTCAACTTCAAGAAACCTTCAATCGTTGTCACAGACAACATTTTTTTGGAAAGGATGTGAAATCGAAGATGAAATGTGACTGTATGAGTACGTAGTTGACATATTGATAAATGTATAATGAAACTTTGTGATGTTCTTATATATATATATATATATATATATATATATATATATATATAATATTGTCAGCATACTTCAATATGTTAATTTTGCAGCATCGACTTATGATCAGGCATTTAAAATCGGTACAACATCTAGTTTGGACATACATAAATGAAACCATGCATGAAAGATTGGAGATGAGTTAGCAAACTAAAGAAAACTCCGATGATGGCAGTGTGTTTTTGATGCGGCATATGGAAACTTGGATAGGAAATGGGAGGTCATGGAAAACTGGTTTCACTACGAAGGGACCGAATCAGAAAACTCAACTCACAGATTTAAGAAAGAAGTACACAACAAAATTGGTTCTAAGTAATTTCAGCAAGAAAAGGGATGATGTCCAGAAGGAGGTTGATAAATTGCATGTAATGGACGTGGAAATTAAAAAGAAAGTAATAGAACAAGCAAGAGCAACAAGCAGATCCGAGATCGGTTTTCAAATATGATCAGATCAAGTTATGAATATGATTGGGTTTTATTATCAACGTCTTTTGGAACTGTTTTGAGTTTCATGATTTGAATTTATGACTATAATTAAGATTTATGTTTCTTGAATTAAGTTTTGGTTGATGAAACAACATATGTATAAACTAATTTTGAATGATTAAGTTCCTGAACTATTTTTTTGAATGAAAAAACCATTGAACTTTCATATTTTTAATGATTAAAACCCTGAATTTTTTTAAAATTTTTACTAGTTAATTACTGTAAATTTTTTTGAGTTAAAAGAATTTAGGTAACCAATTTCTAAAAGTGCAATGGTTTATTTATTAAAAAAATGTTCACAAACTTAATCAATCAAAATGAAAAATTTTAATAGTTTTTCCATTCAAAAAAAAATTTAATGATTTTTTCATTCAAAAAAATAGTTCAAGAACTTAATCATTGAAAATGAGAAAGTTTAATGGTTTTTCCATTAAAAAAAATAGTTCAAGGAGGTAATCCTTCAAATTTATATAGTTCGTTGGTTTTTTTAAAAGTTTTTCCTTTAAAATACTATTAATGAAGTATATATTTGGACGAAATGAAGTTATATGTTGAAAAATATTCATTTGCAATTGTCTAATAAGAAAAGAAAAATTCAAACACAGATTCATGAATCTCTTTCGTCTGAAGAAGAACATAGCATTACTCGATTTCATTTTTGGTATGAAGGTAACATGAATCTGTTTCATTTGGAAAATCATTCCGGAAAATGACTAATCAACATCTATTGCTCAAATGCTTCATCTGTAAATGAAAGTAGCATTATTCCGTTTTCATTTGAAGATGAAATACAGCGCTCCACCCCGGTGAACTCATGCGGTTCCGACGTGCCCAGAGGCCAGGGGCGAATCCGTTCCCAAGTGGTGAAATGTGTCGGACCAAAATTAGCCGAGAAGGCCTGAGCTGAACCTGTCAAATTCACATTACCAGATCCAAAATTGTGTGGCATCCCATTTACTGTATTCAGCCCAACTGTATAGTTAGTTAGCCCCAGGCTTATTGACACTAGTCTTTGAGTCAAGCCCAGTTCCAGATCCAAAATTACCCAATTGAGACTAAAGCGCTTACAAGTTACTTTATTTTACTGGATGAATATGACAAAGACTAAAAATCTTACCCGGTAAGAGTGAAGACAAGAATCTAGAGTCTTACCCGGTAAGTGAGGACAATAACCCTTACCATGGTTAGCGCTTACCAGGATAAATTGTTACATACGATGCGTATTAATGAATAAAAACTTACCTGGTAAGTAAGATATAGTGTTGAATTTTGCCGGTAAGTGCTTACCGGGTATAAACGACCCTAATTAGGCATAAAACTGAAACCATCCATGGTACTGTAAAATGCAGAAAAGATTTGTGGATCTCCACAGTTTTTTTTGTTTTTAAATTAACCTGAACCTGCTAAACGAGCCGACTAATCTCAGAGTGACCACCTGTTTTGCGGGTAGCTCGGAGTCACTGTATTTGAACCTCCGTGGCCACAAGAGGATTTTTATTCCTCCTTGAATTTGAACCTGGAACCTCCTGCCACTTTTCACCTTTGCAGTTCAAGCTCAAATCAATCAGACACCACATGCAAAGCTTCTACTGCTCCAATTATTTTCATTATAGAAAGGCCCTCCATAAGTCCTTCCACGATCACGACCACTCTGATTTCCTCCACTTATTCACTTGATTCATAGCGAAAAAAACATGGATCTACCATATGTCCCTGTTTATGACAGATTTGACACGAGTTTGTGACCTCTTTTGAACTCAGATGTGGAGGATTAGTTACCTTTAAGGCTGCCATCGCTGAAACTAGTCAGATTGTTGTTGCATTGTTGCTTCATAGAAGAGAAGACGAGATCTGAATGGCGTAAACAAAGGCGAAGTCTCAGAGTTTTCGATGCTTAAAACAAACATGTTGCAGGTGGAATTGAGTCCATGTAGCGTTTGTAACACTAATCTGGTTCAGAAACCTTTTCTAATGGATCCTAATGAATCACACATCTTCTTTATTG